TAATTTATGCCACCAACTTTGGCACCTTAGCATCAGACTTTTGTTAGGAAAAGAAAGCTGAGAAAAGAATCTCCTAAGTGAATTTTTGCTTTTGCTTGTTGGACATGGTCTCGTGTTAAATCAGGTCGCAACACCATTTGTCATTGTGATCTAAACTCGAAGGACCACACTTGACACCCCTTCTCGTGTGATTAGAGCGGTTAGCGGGAATCGAGCCCACATCGTAAGCTTGGAAGGCTAGGGGTTATAGTCGGCATTGAGAAATACATTAGGAAGGTTTCTTGACTAGGCATTCCTCATCGGAAGTAAAAGGCAAACGCTATAGTTATAAATATCACCGATTCATAAGCGACATTGGCACATGCTCGATTCAATTAGAGACATTTTTTTTTTGTCAAAAAGAGACGCTTATTTAGAATGTGATGTTATACGTATAAGGCTACATGTTCTTATAGGTCAAAATCATTGGGCAATGTTGACAAATCATGTAGAATTCTCTTGAAGCGTCCAGACAATTTGGGATGAGATGGTTGTCGGGAAAATTGTCGAAAAAGTTATAAATCTATTGCACTTTTGCTGATTCGATCCTAAACCTTTTAATTATGCCAATTGAGTCCTAAACATTTTCACATTTTGCCAATTGGGTCAATCCGGACAATTTTGATCAGAAATTGCTAATGTTAGACGCCGGTCGTCCTACGTGGCATAACCAATATTGATGTGAACAAATTTTAGTAATACTTCAATCTTTTTTGTATTTTTTATTAATTTTTCCTTTTTTTTTCTTTTCTTCTCTTCTCCTACTTTATTTATTTCTTTTTTTTTCCCTCTTTCCCTCTGCCGGCCATCGCCGAGCCTTGTGGATGGCCGGCAACCTCAGGCAAGGGCCACTCGAGGCCAGCGATTTCAGTCAACCATTGACAAGGCCCGGCTATGGTCGATGGAGGGAAAAAGAAAAAAGAAACGAAAAGAAGAAAAAATAATAAAAAAGCAAAGAGGGAAAGAGAAGAAAAGAAAAAAGGAAAAAAAAATGAAATTTTTTATTAAGAATTGTCCACGTCAGCACCGGCCGTGCCATGAATGATAGCCGGCGTCCATGTCAGCGATTTCCGCCCAAAATTGGGCGGATGAACTCAATGAACAAAACGTGAAAAGGTTTAAGATTCAACTGATACAATTAAAAGGTTTATGGCTGAATTGATAAAAGTGCAATAGATCTATGGCTTTTTGGACAATTTCCCCGTCATCGAAAACCCGCTCACATGGTCACGGACAATCATCAACCCACGATGCGTGCGTGCCGTGCCGTGTGCGCGAGGAAGAGAGAGAGAGAGATAGAGGCAATGACCATTGAAAAGGAAAGGAATGATTCTTTGATGGACCCCCGAAAAGAATACCAAAAGCATGCGGGTCGTCCAGATTAATAGCCCTGCAAAGCCTTTCGTATCGAAGGCGAAGTTTGCAATGAGACCCCCACCCAAAAGCAGCACATCCACCTCTTAAATTAAAAATTTGCCATCCCGTTTTAATCAATTGCGTCCCCGAAATTGACGTCCTCCTTGGTCCCGAAAAATAGAAATAATGCGACATATCGGCCGTCCGTTCGATCGATCCTATGTGCGTGCGTGAGTATATAAGACGACGTCTTTTCCAACGTGGTACGCTGCAAAATTGGCAATGGCTTTTGAACCCTGATTATGGCCAAAAGCCTTTGCTAAGAACTAGCAAGCATCCCACGTTCGACTCCACTCTCGCTTCGTTAATAGGCACGTGACTCTACTGATAAATGAATTGGAGGAGTGTGGACGTTGATATCACGGATATGGGTTCGACTCCCGCAATCTATAAGAGGCAGAGCAAAGATCAGATAGAGAGAGATGAGAATTAGAGATAGGACATGCCAAAAAAAAAAAAATCTCTCCCACTTTTGGGATGATGCCTCAAATTTACTCCATCTCCTTTTTGTTTTTCCAAAATTACTAAGTACAATAGATTAGTCGATACTGTTGCGTAAGCAAGCGATCGAATAATGAAATAGACGAAATAAGGAAATAAATAGGACACCAGATTTGCGTGGTTTCGGTATGGGTGGCTTACGTCTACGGTAGAGAGTAGCAAATAATTCTATTATAGGTCAAGCGATATGATAGATATTACAACCACACTCGAGTCGCTCAAACGCATCTCTTAATCTCACAAAGGAATTCATGAATCTTTACTCGTAAGTTTTAATTGGCTTCGGGATGTGATTCACAAAAGCTTCTCTTGTGATACTCTTTACAAAGAATATCCATTTTTTTTTAGTATTTATGTAAGAATTGGATCCGAAATAGAAAACCTACTCCAACCGAGAAATCATTCAAATAGGAAATCAACTTGAAAATATAGAACATATCCATCGTCTTGTCTTTTTGGTCGACTTGATATGGCATTACCATCGACTCGATGAATGTAACATAAAGGGGAAAACAGAAAGAATGAAAAAGGGCACTAGTGGATAACAATATACGTTTTTTTTTTTTCCAAATAGTCTCGTGTTTTTTAAGAAAAGAAAGAAAATCACCAAAATCGTAAAAGAAAAATGAGAAAAACAAAAGATCCGTTATTTCACGAAAAATAATGATTTAGAAAACTTTTCCCTAAAAACTATCTTTTGTATCGATTACAGAAATGAATGAATGAAAGATATTTCCGTCTTTCACGAAGATATTTCGACATAAATTATTGTCAACAATCGAAACATTTTCTATTTACTAATTATTTCGAGCAATGGAAGGGACCATTTTTACGAAAATATTTTCTAAATTATTAATTCTCCATGAAACAAACGAAGCCAAAGAAAAAATGGTTAATACCACGGGAAACCTTAAACTGGTAGACCTATGAGAAATTTACCCTGGACTAATTTTTTTATCACCAGAAATCCCAAACTGGTCCACCTATGACAACTTTACCTCAAACTAATTTTTTATCACAAAAACCCCAAACTGATATACTTGTGACAATTTTACCATCCGTTAAATGGGATTAATACCATGAAAAATCACAAATTGGTAAACATGTAACAAATAGGGGGTAATACCCCAAACTGGTTCACCCGTCAACTATCACGTGTCATCCAACTCAATAAATTGACGGTAAAATTTAACGGAAACTAACATAAGGTAAATTTGCCACAAGTATACCAGTTTGAGATTTTTCGTGATATTAACCCAAGAAAAAAAAGGAAAGAGGAAAACGACACGGAGGCCCAAGGGGATCCGAGCCGGAGGCCCAACCGATCACAAAGGACACGCGGCGATGCCTGGTATCCGCCCTTTCTCTCTCGATATACATCGGAGTAATGTATTTTATTTTTATTATTATTTTTTTGGTCATGGGAGTAATGTATTTTAAAGATTGTCAAATGCTGACGGCTTCTTCTTTTTTTCTCTTATTTTTTGGTCAAACGAAAAAAAAAAGGAAAAAAAAAAAAAGAGAGGAGGTCGGAACTGCTCACATTGTCTCGGACATCAACTGATGATGCGGGCGTGCCGTGCGCGCGAGGAGGTGAAAAGGAAAGGAATGATTCTTTTAAGGACCTCCAACAAAAATAAATTCTTTTGTGGACCCAAAAGAAAATACAAAAACGTGCGTCATCCGGATTAAATTAATTTTTGCCATCCGATTTCAGTCACCATATTAATCCCGTTTCAATCAATTCCGTCCCGAAATTGACCTCATTGGTCCAAATTTTTATTTTCGTTTTTTTTATTTATTTTCAGATGAGGGCCTTGGGGCGAAAATAAAAAAAAAAAGTATCCTTGAGGGGCGGAAGATTCCGCGACATGCCCCTCCACTTAGGAATCGCTCCTCGATCTAGAAGAACGAGAAATAATATGAAACATCAGCCGTCCGTTTGATCGATCCTACGTGTACAAATTGGTGATGGCTTTTGATCCTGATTTTGGCAAAGTCTTGCTAACACGTTCAACTTTCTCCTTTCAAACCCCCAAAAAAAAAAAAAATGATCGAACAGACAGAATAATAAAATAAGTCGGATACCGGAGTTACGTGATTCGGTTGAGGTGGCCTACATTTACAGGAGAGCAGGAAGAATTCCACTATAGATGAAATGATACGGTGGAGATTATAACCACACTCGAGTTTTCAAACACAACTCTTAATCTCACGAAGGAACTCACAAATCTTACTTGCGAGATTTAAAAGCTCTTCTTTTGATACTCTCTACAAAGAATGTCCACTTTTTATACATAGGTAAGAATTGGATCCGAAATAAAAATCCTCCTACTAGGAAGCCATTCAAATAGGAAATCAACTTGAATTAGGAAAGTTTTTTATTGAGCTCAAAGTCGACACATATTTTCCACGGGTAGAATATATCGATTGCCTAGTCTTACCCTATATGGTATCATCATTTACTTTGATGACGATTTGTTTCGTTCTTCAATACATATAACCCGTGCTCCGAAACCTCCGCACTTATTAGTATCGAGCCGCGCGAGCCTCGGCTTCAAAGGGGTACGCGAAAAAACCGAAGGAAATCCGATTCGCGCACAACATACATCAACACGGTACACGACACGGGGCAAGTCAAGCAACAAGGATGTTTCTTCCCGGTGCACTGCGGTTGGTGAACGGGGGAAGTCATCCCAAGGAACACCCCATGGGGAAAAGGGCGGGGTCAAAGATCATCATCGAGCGGGATTGTCCATCCCCGCAAGTAAAAGAACGCGAGCTTCGAAAGTGACATAACAAGAAATTCCCTAATCCCCTTCTTAGTCAAGTTTGATAAGGAACCGAAATTAATAAAAATTCTCTTTCAAACCACTAATCATCATCGAATTTCTCGGGTTAAAAAAAAAAAGGAAGGGAAGGGAAGAAAGTAGGTGACGATTTGCATGCCCAATTTGTTTTTCTCCACCCCCCCCAATCGACATGCGAATTGCATAAATTAATCGGAAAAAAAAATAATCGAGTACCCACCAAGGCAATACACGGTAAAACGCCCCTCCTCCCAAGGTCAGAATCTCCAATTGAATAGCCGCACAACAAGTTCAGAATCTTCTTGGCTTCTCAATCTCTCCCCCCCTCATCGTTCCTTGCATCGAGCCTCGACCTCAAAGCACGGAAACGACGATCGACTCAACTTTACCCGTGTGAGAAAAGCGAGGATAGAACCGATGAAGATTTCCCTCTTTTGGGTTCCTGCGAATCCAAGTTTCTAATCCGGGGAAAAATTCTTGCGGACCGAACGAACGTCGTTTAGTAAAACCATGCCCGCATGGCGGCTCTTCGTGTCGCTCCTCCTCCTCCTCTGTCGGCCCTGTCTCACGGCCAGGAGCGCGCCGGGCTCCGTAACGGTAATAACCGTCGACGCCGCCGCCCGGAACGCCACGTGGCGGGACTTCTCGAGGTTCCTGGACGCCGGCAGGGGGAGCCACGTGGACGGCATGTCGGAGCTCAAGAGGTACTTCAGCCGGTTCGGGTACTTGCCCGTCGCGCCCGGCTCCGACTTCACCGACGTGTTCGATAACGATTTCGAGTCCGCGATCGTCGCGTACCAGACCAACCTCGGGCTCGCGGTCACCGGGGAGCTCGACTCCGAGACCATATCGGCCGTCATGTCGCCCCGGTGCGGCGTCGGGGACGCCGGCGACGGCGCGCGGTCGCTGCGGCGATACGCGTACTTCGCAGGGAGGCCGCGGTGGGACCGGGCGGCGCCGGCGACGCTCAGCTACGCGCTCTCGCCGGAGTACACGGTCGGGTACCTGAGGCCGGAGGACGTGAGGGCGGTGTTCCGGCGATCGTTCGCGCGGTGGTCGGCGGTGATCCCGGTGAGCTTCGTCGAGGCGGCGGAGTACAGGACGGCGGACATCCGGATAGGGTTCTACCGCGGGGACCACGGGGACGGGGAGCCGTTCGACGGGGTGCTCGGGGTGCTGGCGCACGCGTTCTCGCCGGAGGACGGGAGGGTCCACTTCGACGCGGCGGAGAGGTGGGCGTTGGATTTCAAGGTGGAAAGGGCGAAGGTGGCGGTCGATCTGGAGTCGGTGGCGACGCACGAGATCGGCCACGTGCTGGGGCTGGGCCACAGCTCGGTGAAGGAGGCGGTGATGTACCCGAGCGTGAAGCCGAGGACGAGGAAGGTGGAGCTGAGGATCGACGACGTGGAGGGGGTTCAGGCGCTGTACGGGTCGAACCCGAATTTCAGGCTGAGCTCGCTGTTGGAGTCGGAGAACTATAAGAACGGAGCCGTTGGCGGCGGCGGCGGCGGCGGATTGGAGTGGAGGTGGTTTGCGTGGTCCACATGGTTAGTGGCTCTGGTGGATTTGATGTTGCCTTTGTGGTTGTGAGCATGACTGATGAGTCATCGGTGATGACATAGCCTTAGGTTAGCTTTTGCCTTTTGGGTTTAAACTTTAAAGAGAAACGCCAGCAACTGTAAATACTGTTCAGCTTTACTGATACACAGTTCAGCCAAACAGAACTTTATTGGCACACATCGATTCACAAAGCAAAAAGGTGCGACAGAAATTTTCTTTCATTGGGTATTCTGAGCTTCTTGGTAGAGAAAAGAGTAGCGATTTGTTGTTCTTCAATTGTTGATAGTTTCTGTTTAGTTCAGGTGGTTTCATGCAAACTTCTGCATGAGCTCGGCATAGTAGCTGATCTTGAAAAGTTCATGTCCTTAGTTGATTGGGCTTGGACGGACTTAGGCAGGCTAAGAAAGAAATTGCTTATTCGGATCTGCCCGCGTTGTTGCCCTCCACGGATCACGGCCCCATGATTGCATCTGGTTTGCGATTTTGCATGCACCATCTGCAAGTCGAGTCTTGCCTAAGCCACGTCTGAATTTGATGCAACATTCTTCACTTGTATCCAACTAAAACCAGCTCCTTTCATCACGCCTCTCGACCTCATCAGCTCCCTAACCGCAGCCGCTCCGCTCCATTTCCCTTGAGACGCGTATATGTTGGACATCGCAACGTATATGTAATCTTCGTTGCCTTCCAATTGGATCAGCTTCGCAGCTGCGATTTTCGCAATCTCCAAATCCCGACAAGATCCGCAAGCGCCAAGCAAAGCCCTCCAAACTGGGGCCCATGCGCCGAACCCGAGTTTGTGAATCATCTTTCCCACCCTCCGAACTTCTCCTCTTCGCCCCATTAACCTTATTATTGAACAGCCGTGTTCGGCTGTCGGATGAATCCTGTACTCATCGATCATTAATTCCAAGTACTTCATTGCGAGGTGCGATGGCACTCCGCCATGGGAATATGCGGATAAAACATTGAGAAATGTGATCTCATCTGGTTCTATACCATCGATGAGAAGTTGCTCGAAGTAGTGAACTACCTTGGCAAAGAAACCATTGTGGGCAAAACCAGATATCATCGCATTCCATGTTATCAAGTTCCTCTGAGGTAGAGAGTCAAACATCAATTCCGCATCTTCCACTTGGCCGCACTTTGAGTACATGTCAACAAGGGCACTGCCGATAACCACAGATAAGTCAAAACCGCACTTCGTCGTGCAGCAGTGTATTGCAATTCCCCAACTCAGTGCTGCTAAAGATCCAATTCCGCTCAGAATGCTTGAAAATGTGAATTCATCCATCTCCATGCATTCCGAGTGCATTCTCGTAAAGAAATCAAGAGCTTCTTGTGATCGATTTCGGTTCACATAACCAGTTATTATTGAATTCCATGAAGATGAATTTGGTTTCGGCATGTACAAAAGGATCTGTTCGGCATCTCCTATGTTTCCGAACTGGGCAAAACCATTAATTACCTCATTGTATGAGATTGCATCGGGATGGGGCATCTCCTGCAAAAAACTCAACGCCTCTTCAAGGTTTTGGTTTCTAGCGCAAGCTGACAAAACTGAATTCCACGAAATAGTATCCTTATAACACATTGCTCCGAACACACGTACCGCCTCTTGAACGCACCCGCATTTGCCATACATGTCGATCAAGCAATTAGAAACGAAAACACTGCATCGCATACCAACTTTTACAATCTTGGAGTGGATAGACCTTCCGAGCTGCAACAAGCTCGACCGACCGCACGCAGCCAATGCGGCCGTCACAGAGAACGCATCACCATCGCAAGTTTCAGACTTGTTCAGTTGAACAAACAAGCTTAGAGCTTTCCGAAACAGCCCGAAGCGCAGATACCCAGAAATCAATGTATTCCAAGAAACTACGGTCGGATCGGGAATTTCGTCGAACAGGTTGTGGGCGCCGCGCAACGAGCCTTTTTCCAGGTAGAAGCTCATCAGGGCAGTCATCACGAAGACATCGGAGCCGAACCCACGTTTCAGGGCATGGCCCTGAAGCTGCATGCCATGTGATTCGGAACCTCGCGACGTCGCGGCGCGAATGAGCCGAACCAATTCATACCCGCACGGTGAGGTACAGGATTGGAGCATTCGAGCCGCCATCGACGAATCAAGTCCGGCCCGTGCTTCGAATTCTTCTCCTTGGGCAATGGCTGCGACGACCCCATGATCTCCTTGAACGGAGTAGGCAAGGGAGGCTAACGAGTGCGTCGATGTGAGAGGCAGGTGTCGCAACCTCGTACCCAGTTCAAGAAGAAGGGACCTTCGCATGCCTATCCATCGTACGTCTTCGGTAGTTTTTTTTTTCTTATATGAGAATGACAGTGTTAAATTGTATATAGTAGGATATTGATTTACAAAATTGGTTTACTCTACAAAAAGCAGTTTGGTAAATTATCACCGATGTTTAACGTGACAAATTTATCTTAACCTTTGACTGATCTAGACCTACGAAACTTTTGTTTTGGCTTATCTCATTTCTCGATGGCAACAAGATATTCGCTCGTAACATACCAAACGACTTAATATAGACAAGATTTTTATGTTTTTTTTTCAAATTTATGATATTAGTATCGTCAATTGATATGGATATTTGATTTTGAGGACTTTCTAATAATTTCTAGATATAATGTCACGAGCGGTCCCTCTACTTTTACTCAAAATTTAAAATTGTCCCTATGCTTTTTTTTTCCTTCAACACGGTCCTTGTACCTTTTAAAAATGTGTCAACGGTTCATCTCGATGCCATTCTTATGACGGATTTTGCCGATGTGGATTTGAAGTAGTAAAAACGTGTGGATTTGAAGTAGTAAAAACGTGCTGACGTAGACATGATGCTGCAAAAAATTACTGATGCAGGGTTGACGCTATTAAAAATTGTTGTGTAGATATATAAAAAAATCCTGACATGAAATGTACGTGTGGGATTTTTTTTTCACATTTTGAAAATGCTCACCTTCCATATTTTCACTACTCTAGGAACTCGTAGCTTTTGGCTAAAATCAATGTAGTTCTTCTTCCTCTTCACTTCTCAAAGACATCTTCAACTTCAAAATCGTGAGCAAACCCTTGCACGAGTTCAATCTCTGCTTGTTTGCAGCCGGAGTCGCCAGAATCCGAAGTTTCATGGCCTCGGACACTCGATCTAGAATGTCATGGACGTTACGGCCACATAACTCGAGCTCGAGCTTGCTGCAGCCATGGCCAACATGTCTTGAGCTTGAGGCCATGAACACTAGATTCGCAATCTCGTGGCCATGGACTCTCAGCACCGAGTGTCACGGCTGCCATGGCAGCGAAGCTCGAGCTCGAGCTCGCGATAGCCATGGCCGCCATATCTCAAGCTTGCGAGCCATGGCATCTAGATCCGAAGATTCATGACCAGCTCGAGCTCGAGCTTGCTGCAACCATGGCAGCCGTATCTCGAGCTCAAGCCCGGGGCCGCCGGTGGCATTACGCTTCCCAAGCTCAGGCTTAACTTGGTGCTCGGTGTCTGCCCATCCGAATGGAGCCGATCTTATTAATCGTAAGCCCCATCCAGCATCGTTCTTCACCTCCAATTTGGCTTGCCGTGGGCCTGTGAATGGTCTGTCCCATAATCACGTCTATTGAGTACCCACGGATTATAGCATAGCGCAGCGGTCAAAAGCTACTATTGAAATATCGCTCCGTTACCGGTTGTTTGGGAAAAATATTTTTTTCATTTTTCGGTGTATGGATCATACTTGAAAATAAAATAATGAAAAATATTTTCTTAGTTAACCAAAATTTAAATTTAGGAAAATAATTTCTTATTTAAAAATTCGAAATTCATTTTCCATAATATGACTAGGTATTGGCGTTTAACATGATTAAGTATCGATGTTTGGACCAGAAACTCTGCGCCTGGGGACGGGAACCCTAACTCTCGTCCCCAGGCCCTTGGTAGCAAGGCTGGGTCCATCGAAGCCGGGCTCGGGACCTCGGTGCCCCGACTCGAGTCCATCTAGCTTGAGACCTCCTAGTGCTTGTGCTCGTGTTGAACGTTGGGGATTCGAACTCAAGACCCCGGTGTCCATGCTAGGTTCCTTGGTTACCCATGCGCAAGGCACCCGAATAGTGTGTGTTTATTTAGAAAAATCAAATGAGATTTTCCTTACCAAACAATGGAAAATATTTTCCAGTTTAATTTCAGGTATCAACCAAACACCGGAAAATATTATCATTTTCTTGTAAAAATGACTTCTCCAAAAATATTTTCCATAAATGTTTTTAAGGGGAAAACACCTTCTTCATTTTCCGCCATTTGGTTCGCTTAAGAAAATGAGTCAACGAAAAATATTTTCCAAGTCAATGAAAAAGGTTTTCCTACAAAAACTTAAAATTAGGAAAATGATTTTCTCTTTAAAAGAACCGAAAAGCATTTTTCAAAATATAACTAGGTATCAACGCTTGAACTCGAAACTCTACGCTTGGATACGGAAACTCCAATGTTGGTTCCTAGGTCTCGGAGTTCAGGATCAAGTCTCCGGCGGCTGGGCTTGGGTCCATCGAGGCCGGGCCCCAACCCTCGGTGCTCGTACCCGATGGTTTGGCACCTAAGCCCTAGTCCATAAAGGCCGTGCTCGAATCCCCGACGCTCAAGCTCTTGTCTCAACCCTTAGGCCTGGGTTCACAAAAGCCATTCGCCGGTCCTCAGCGCTTGGGCTCGGGTCCTTGGTTAATGAAATATTTGTTCTTATAAAAATATTTTAAAAAATTTCAAAATTTTAATTATTTTTCATTTAAAAACTTGAAATTTAATTATTTTTTTATTTTTTTAATAGAATATTTTATTATCTTTAATTTTTATTTTCTTCCTTTTTCTTTTTTCTTCTTCCTCGGCAAGTTGCCGGCCACGGCCGGCGATCAACCCCAAGCTAGCTCAACCTCATCGTTGAGCTGCTTGGGCTCGGCTAAAGGATCCAAAGTTCCTTTGTCTCCATCGCCATCTCGATCTCCTCCCTTACCTCCAAGAACTTCAAGTTTATTGTGTCCACCTCCGCACCGTACTCCGGTACCGAGTTGACGCTTGGCTCGGTGCTGAGTCTCCTCCGACTCGATCCGAGATTGGAATGGAGCGAGCGTCGGAACGAACCGAGATACCTCGTCGACCTCTGGCAAGCTCAAAGTCCGTTGATCCGGTGAGGTGGAGCCTCACTCGAGGCCAGCGAGGCAAGGCGACCGGTCACGGAAGAAGCAAAAAGAAAAAAATAAAATAAAGCAATATATAAAAACAAAAAATAATTTAAAAAATACGAAAATTTTGATAATTTTTCCCTTCAGATTTTTCTTACCAAACGATGGAAAGTACTTTTCGGGTATTTTTCAAGTTTCAGTCAGACACCGTAAAATAAAGTCATTTTCCTAGAAAATATTTTCAGAAATTGTACGTTTTTTCGCAAAACTAGCGGACCTTAAAAGGGCTTTGGTGTTGCTTCTTGCCCTATTGCTTTCATTGGCAATCCTAAAAGTCTTCTCTCCAAAAGTCACTTCAAATACTATATAGTATATCTATTATTTATATAATTTGTAGGAAAAACTTGCGTAATGCTAGCGTAATACGAAAGCGGAGCAAACCAGAATATTCTTTAAGAGCTTTGGTGGTGCTGCTTACCCTTTTGCTTGCTTGGCCATCTTTAGAGTCTTCTCTCCTAGTCACTTCAAAAACTATATAGCATGTAGTGTATAGTTTCTCCTAGGGATAAGTGTATATAGCATGTGGTGACAACCGATCATTATTTTTAAGGGTTAATACTACAAAAAACTCAAAACCTGATATACCTGTGATAAATTTATCTCAAATTAATTTTTTGATCACCAAAAACCCCAAACCGATACACCCGTGAAAAATTTACCTTCCGTTAGTATCCGTTAAATTTTATCGTCAAATTGCTGAGTTGGATGACACGTGGTAGCTGACGGGTGTACTAGTTTGGGGTTTGACCCTCCGTATGTCAAAGGTGTATCAGTTTATGATTTTTCGTGATATTAATCTAATTTAATGAAGGGTAAATTTATTACAAATGTACAAGTTTAGGGTTTTTTATTGTCAAAAAATTAATTTTTGGTAAATTTATCACATGTGTACCAGTTTGGGGTGTTTTGTGGTCAAAAATTAGTTTAAGGCAAATTTGTTACATGTGTACCGGTTTGGGGTTTTTTGTGATCTTAACCCTATTTTTTTTTAATTATTTCACTCATATGTATATCGGTTTCATCATCCGATCATACCTTAACATGACGTCGTATTTGTGCTTAAATTTTTTCACTGCTTCGTATAAATTACGGTCCGTATGATAAATCAATACTCTAAAGAGGAATTTGCCTTTTCTCAAGCCAAAGATAGAATTTGATGATGCGTGGAGCAATTTTAGTTGGACTTGCCAGTTAATTGAGGAGCGGTGGGTGGGGGCGCTCTTGATTTGGCAGAAGGAGCGTGATATCCGATGGTGGTTGGATAGTAAATCTTTTTTTCTTCTTTTTCTTTTTTTAGATGATAATAATAAGGCTTTATAAAGAGATGCTTCTATTTCTTTTCTTGGATTATTGTTAGAAAAATCAACAACAGTCGCGAGCTTAGCTGGCGTTGTGCTTATAAAAAGGATGAACTAAACTTATCCTCTAAATCTTCTTCATAATCGCGTTAGCGTTGGAGGCACCTTGACCCAAAGGAACAGCTCGAAAAATCGGTTAATTATCGTCGGAATTTCGTTAATGGGGCAATTGCTAAGCATCTAAATCATCGGTGAATTTAATATTCCAAGGTCAATTTTTTTTTATAATTACCTAAAGAATCTTTTTTTCATGTGATATTCGAAACCTACTCCTATTTTCACCATAAGATATCATACTAGTCTAATTACAAAGAGGTTCAAATGCACAAAAAATTAGAAGGAAATGAATCGGTACGTGATTACTACTAATAATACGAAACGTGAAATACCGAAATGAATAACCGTTCAAATAAAGAGGGCGGTTTCTGATACCATGTGCCGATCGAATTCCTTAAACATATGCAATAATGGTGATCTAGGACATGTCCCCATGAAATGTCTAGTGGCCGCGGTAATTCCAACTCCAAACTCCGTTTCCTTCCGACCAAAAAACAAAAAAACTCCGTTTCCTTTTATTTTAATTTTTAATTGACATGCGTATTCAAATTTTGTAATTTTCGAAATTACCTAACTATTTTTTTATTTTTAAATTTTCGCCCCCCACAGAGGTTGCCTAAAATAAAAATAAAAATGAAGCCTCTCTGTCTCTCTTCTCTCTCACCTTCAACCGTTTGACCGGAGGGACGACCGGTAGAGGAACAACCGCGAACGTTAGCTGAGCTCGGCCAAAACGGACGGGCAGATGAACCAGAATCTACGACAACAACCCAAGAAGATCACACACACCAAACGTAGAAGGAAGAGTTTGATGAACGTGCATCGACACTCCACAGCAACGGCGACAACAACGACGGTGCCGATGGCACCCAGAAGTCAGATTCCATAGAAACATTATCAAAACAACACGATACACGCAGAGAGACAGAGAGACAGAGAGAATATCAGGGACGTTAATCAATCTGTCTTCGTCGCTGCCGTTGCCCGTCTCCGGTGGCAGCGGCATTTGGAGAGGCTAGCCACAGCGAGATATTCGCGGGCGCATTCCCGTCTCCGGCTCCCTCTCGAACCCGAGGGGAAGGGAGGAGACAGAGCGTGAGCCGAGAGATGGCGTGGCGTATGAAGAAGGAGGCGGTGGAGGACGCGGTGGTCATCGGGGGGTTGGTCGGCGTCCAGTTCGTCTATGCCGGGAACTCGGTGCTGCTGAGCTACCTCATGTCGCTCGGCTTCACCCCCCTCACGCTCGTCATGTTCTCCGCTCTCGCCACCTTCTTCATCCTCTCCCCTGCCGCCGTCGTCTTCGAAAGGTCTCTCTCTCTCTCTCTCTCTCTCTCTCTCTCTCTCTCTCTCTCTCTCTCTCTCTCTCTCTCTCTCTGTGCGCATTGGCGCGTGCGGTGTTTGATCATGTTTGGTTTTCTGTGTGGTTTGCAGGAGTTTGTGGCCTAGGAAGATCAGCTTGAAGCTGATGCTCCAGCTTGTTTTGATTTCCTTCACTGGGTAACCGCGCAAACTCGACATGTTTTTCATTAGTTTCGTTGAGATATTCAACGTGTTTTGCAATGGCTCTCTAACCAATTCAACATTCACGTCACGGACCCAAGAGAAGAAAGAAACTTTTACGTCACATGTTCTTACCTTTGCCTTTTGGATTTAATTGGTATGTATATAAAGTTGATCCACATTGAACATGTGGTGCGTTCTAGCTGCTGGTTTTGGCGTTCTTGAATTTGGCTGTATCCTGCAGGTTGCTTAGGCGATTAATTAAGATTAGAAAACGATAATTGCTTGTTCTAAGTCTCAGTTTAATCCGAAGATAAATCCAAAGATGAATTAATTAATTCAGAATCAGAACTGCAAAAGGGTCTGATAAACTCAGCTATGCATCTTCTCTTTCATTTCTGAAATTTATGAAGATCCACAAAGTTCTCCTGCAGTATCCAACAAAAGGGGTTAAAACGTGTTAGAAATTTTCATTGGAAACCACTAGTGATAAAAAGTGACTTAGAGATTGAACATCTTCAAAAGGGGTATGGATGTTGTCGTGTGCTTGATTTTACTCTCTCCCTCTCTCTCTCTTTGTCTGCTTCTCTTGTGGGCCTTTGACAGCATTAGCTGGGTTCTAGCTCCTGTAGCTCACACTAGAACGTGCACCCTTTCGCTTTTTATGACTTTCTAATCACTCTTGATGTGCAATAACAAAAAAGGAAAATAAACTGTTAGTTCGACAATTCAGAGGTTGAACTTGCGAATGACAGTTCATTTTTTCTTTTTTCTTGATTTTGATATTCAGCGTGACTCTGTTTCAATCCCTGTTCCTGAAGGGAATCAAGATGACATCACCGGGCATGGCCACGGCCATGCCGAACCTCGCTCCGGGGCTGATCTTCGTGATCGCTTGGGCCATTAGGTACTACTTGTGTATTGCTCCACATTTGACAATTCTTGCTCCAATATTCTTGTCTGAAACTTCTGAAATTTTTCTGGTTGTGCAGACTGGAGAAAGTTAAGATCAGTTGCGTGTACAGCAAAGTCAAGATAGTAGGCACACTTTTGTGTGTGGCTGGTGCTCTCGCAATGAGCCTGATGCACAGTGCGGGAAAGAAGGAGGTTAAATTTACCTCTGCCTCAGTGGACTTCGTTTTTGACAAAGAAAAGATCATAGGATGCTTGTATCTCATGGCGGCGGTTTTCGTACTGTCGAGCAACATCGTTCTGCAGGTATGCTTCGTTAGAGTAAGAAAGATTTATTGTCTCCTGTGTTCGGATTCTCGGAGACTTATTTATTCTGGTAATCTTGGACAGGCCGTGACTTTGGGTCATTTTCCTGCCCCGATGTCCTTGTGTGCGATAACATCCTTAATCGGGGCATTCACGACTGCGGCTGTGCAGCTTTTTGAAGATCACAAGTTGGTGTTCAGTTTGCCACTCGTGAGCTTCGGAAACCTAGTCGGATTTTCAGTACTGGTGAGTGGCAATGAGTTCGCTCCTCGCGTTTACTATATTGCCTCACTACCTTTCTTTGCTCTTGTAATATTTATCTTGTACTCTACAAACTCAAAGTTGAAAACATATTTTCAAGTTCTTGAAGATCGACTTTTTGGATCCTGCCCATCCGGATTAGTCCCTCGTCGAAATTGCTGAAAGTTCAGTGTTTTTAATCAGAACTGCATTTCCCCATTCCACGTAATTCAACTGATCAACAACCCTTGACTGCTTGTGATACATCTGCTCAGCCATTTTGAGCTTCATGAAAGTACCTTTTGCGAACAGGCAGGTGTCGTTAGCGGACTAACAGTGAGCTTCAATGGATGGGCGATGAAGAAAAGAGGGCCGGTCCTGGTATCGATGTTTAGCCCCATTGGAACGGTGTGCTCTGTTGTTCTTTCCATTTTCACCATTGGCGACACCATTAAACTAGGAAGGTAATTTTGACTTATCAGTGTTCTTAAAGAGTGTACTTGTTTTGCTGTGATTCTGCAATTCCGAGGCACAAGTTTTTTTCTTTTTGTTACAAGTATAACATTGAAATGAAACACAAACATTTGATTTGGCTCCTCTATTGCAGCCTTGGGGGTATGTTCCTTATGTTCACCGGGCTCTACTTCGTACTGTGGGCTAAAGGGAAAGAAGCTTCCTTACCTGAAGATGGCTTAGAAAGTGAGTTTGATGCAGAGAAGCCTCTTTTAACTTGATGCCTTCCTTCATGATTTGTACTGTAAACTCCCATTCACGCCCAGGTCTATAGTTAGACCTCCTCGAAGAAAAAGGAGCCTCAAATGGAAATGAACCATCAGCCAGTCCCCTGATCGATTCATGTTAGCAAATCGGTCCCGATCCATGGCCGAGTAATTCGTCGTGCAAATTGGTGACTGTTAATGTGGATGTTAGGCAGATGAAACAGTCCATTGCTTGCACTTAGTCAGAATGCATTACGAAACGATTCGACAGTGAACATTTGCATGTATACCTCGAGCCAAAGGAATATGAATGGATGGCAAAAGAGTCGTGTGATTTTAAATGTGGTTTAATCATGTATGAGTTCTTGAAGCTGGCTGTGTTTTGCAGAGATATGATCCTGCTGCTCAGTGTTGCAGTTCTCTCATCTACTGCTTCTACTACTACTACTGACATTCTTCTAAGCAAATTCTTGACAAGAGATGAGAGCAGCTTTCTTGCCAGGACAACTGACTTGGAGTTGGTCACTAACAAAGAATCCCTTGTGGTAAAAAAGAAGAAGCTTAAACTAGAATGTTTAGGGGAAGTGGAAGTATTGCAGCGATACAAATTCACCACGACATTGGATCTTGACAGAAAACTTAATAATTTTTAGGGGCTTTTGGGAGGGCAACTTGATTTGATGCTACTATTCATTCGTTCATTCAATTTATATATATATTTTTGCTTTTTGGTTCTTGGGTCATTGTTCTGATTTGCTGACATAGCTGAAGGAAATAAATTTTTGAACTATTGGGTCCTAGGGAGGAGGTATTCCATGTTTCTGAGGGTGGCTAGTTTGCTTTCCTAGGGAAAAGAACAGTCATTTCTTCACTAGAATTCTAGGGCAGGCGACATTTCTCCTTTAGGATTGGCATTGTGTAATTGAACAAGACTGTTGCTCAGTGATGCTCTATTCTCTTTGGCTGCGTTTGGTCGACCGGATAAAAGCCAGGATATGATATGTTTTATCCTATCCTATGTTTGGTGGTGGTCCAGGATAGGATAAGGACGGATATAGCCTGGATAAAAAAATCCGAGGGGGGGTGGGATAGACCTGGATATGATTTCTAATGTCTATTTTTTCAGAAACCCTATGCTCCACTCGCCGTCATCTTCATCCCCACACCTTGTGCGCTTTCACCAAAAAAATTTCTCGGCTTTTTTTCCTTCAACAACTCCTCTGGACCCGTGAATAGTAAAAAAAAAAAAAATTTATCCTATCCGACTTTAAATCCGTAGTCCACCAAACAGTAGATAGGATATGAAGAAATCCCAGGATTTCTTATCCTATCCTATCCAGTCCTATCCTGTTTAGATATCCGGACGACCAAACGCAGCCTTTGTGACTTCGGGGGTTGTAGGTAGGGTGGACGATATTGGACTGTCAGTCGTAAACGAGGAATGAACAAAACACAAGGTCAAATGTAGAAATATAGAAAGAATCCAAATATGACACAACACAATATGCTTTGACATATGTATCAACATTGGAATTAACACGTTCTCATCCTTTTTCTGGTTTTCTATTTGCTCTTTGCCGGTGGGCAGTTCCAGTGAATGGTCGTTGGCCGTCGGCGAAGCTCTAGAAGGTCTGGGCAAGGCGACTCTCGCCATGGGCAAGGTCGGCCCTCGCCAAATTTAGGTGAGGGTTGCCTAGCCAGTTGCTGGCGAGGGACGACCTTGCCTCGATGACGGTCTCGCCTTGACTATTGCCGACGAGGGCGGCCCTGGCCAGATCAGGTGAGGGCAACCCTCGCTTAGCCCTTCCCAACAAATAGAAAACCAGAAAAAGAAAAAAAATTCAAAAAAAAGGTTAAAAGACGAAAGTGTCATTTTAATTCGAAAAATCAAGTTCTTTCTTGAAACAGACATAATCACTTCGAGCCCTTATTTGAAGCAAAATCCATTTCAGACTTTTACATGAGAAAATGGTGGCATTTTAGGCCTTTATTGGACACAAAATGCACTTCATGCCTTTATTTGAGAAAACGATGACACTTTATGTCCTTATTTGAAATTTTCTCAATTAATCTGGTCCACTGATTTCCTATTTTTCTCCGAAGAAATGGAAAACATCAAAAAAGGGAAAATCGAAAACGAAAAGAACTTTCCCACCCGGAACAAGAACCGTTTCTTCTCTCACGCATCATCAACGAGAAAGTCTGAAACCCTAGCTCTGCAAATCAGAACGAGATCATCGTCATCGTCATCGTCTTCTTCCTCGCTTCCGATTCAGAAACCCTAGCTCTGCAAATCCCCCGCACCCGCCCTCAGGTGAAGAGACCGAAATGGATCTCCCCTCCTCTCACGCGGATCCCCAACAACCTCACCACCACCACCACCACCACCACCTTAGACAACGAGATGGGTATTCGCTGCCTCAATCGTTCGATCCGTCGGCCCCGTCCGGTTACGGCTATTATCATCCTCAGTACCCGCAGAATCACCACCGGGAGCAGCAGTACTACCCCTACGATCAGTACCCGTCGACCTCTCACCAGGCGCCGCTGCCGGCGCAGCAACCGGCCGCGGGCTCGGGCCGGGCCGATTTGGCGAGCGGCCAGGTCCAGGTCCAGCTCCCGCAGCACCTGTATAACCTGCTCCAGCAATGCGTGGCCGGGGGCGGGGGCGGGGGCGGGGGCGGAGGGGGGCGGAGCGCAGGTCGCGGGAGCGCCCGGGTTGGGCGCGGCCACGTCGGCCGCCGTGGCGGCACTGTCGCAGCTGAGTCAGTTTGCGGGCACGATGAGCGTGGCGGAGAGGGTGGTTTCCGGGTTTGGCCAGCCGCAGGTGTGGTGTTTGGTTTGGCTTTTTAGCTGGGTGACTGTTCTTGCATTTTAACTGTTTGATGAATTGCTGCGGTCTTGTTTATGGTATTTTCCGTGGCCGCATATATAAACATCTTAATGTGATAATTCGCTGCTGCCTCTATAAAGATACTTTCTTGCTATATGAAAGTTTCTTGTGATTGTATCTTAGATGAGTTGCTGCTTTGGGAGGTTGAGCTTTTCTGTGTTCAAGCATCAGGAGAGGGATCTTTCGATTTGAATGATAATGTCGAGCACTGTGCGCACCCTTAAGTATCCTGTTGGAGAAATTGTTCGTTGGAGTAGTTCCCTGTAGCTGTGCTTCTTTTTCTCTCATTTTGGCTGCAAGAGGATCAGAGCATGTCCTGATGGAAAAGATTGGGTTTGTGAGATTCTGCAGAGCGGAGTGCTGACGGACTTTTGCTTCTTCATGTCATTTGCTGTAGCATGTAATAGTCGTAATACTACGTGTCACGCGGAGTTAAATCGTAGAAAGATAATATCAATGGATGTTTGTGTACATACCTACATGGAAACACTAGAAGTAGCTTTAGGAATTTAATTAATTACATAATTATGTGAGTGACGTCACTCGGTCTATAGTACAATGATAACTTATACCGCTACTTGTCATTAATAAGCATTTGACTTTTCTTAGTTTAATGTGACTACACACTACTGTGTTTAAATGTCCGTACAAAGAGAGTATAAGCTGGATTAAGAAAATAATCTTGGATAAAATGAATGACATGAAGAGCAAAAGCCGGTGCTTGGAGCAGGGCACTATATTCACTGCAAGTTGGAATTACTTCAGAGCAGTTTCCAGGATGTGAAACCAGAGGCTTTTTGCAATGTCTAGGCTTTAGAAACAAAGTTAGAGGACGATTGATTTTACTTGTTTGGATCTTTACAGTCCTTAACTCAATCATCTTCTCTGATTTCACTTTCTCACTCATCTATTCAATTTTCTGCTAAGTTCTTGTAGGATTTCAAGGATTGATGGGGTCTCAAAGGATGAAAGCTTTGTTCTTGTGCTTTATTTTTTTCTATACAATGTGCTCATCCCATATGAAAAAAAAAGGCTACATTTTTGTGTGTTATATGTGCAGAAATGGCTGTTTACTTTTCATTTTCTTTTCATAAGTATTGTATCTGACCTTTGTGATCTTTGTGCAGGTTAGTTACTCTCCATACAGTGGTGGTAACCAGCCATTTAGGGGGTCCAATTATGGACACTTTGCCCACCATCATGCTAGTTTAGGCGGTCCAACAATTAATGGGAGAGTACACAAACACAGGTGGCACAAGGGTGGCCATAAGATAAACAAGGGCACGAAATCATCTAACAACGATGGGAAACCATCTGTAGATGCACAAGCAGTGGAAGCTACAGCCGCATGTCTGGCTTCCGATAATGCTGTCTTTAAAGCTCCAACTCAAGGAGGAAAAGCTGCTTGGTGTGAACTCTGTAGAGTTGAGTGCACCAGCTTAGAAATACTTGAGCAGCATAAGAATGGAAAGCGGCATAAGAAGAACATGCAGAGAGCTGAACAACTGAAGAATGCTGCGAATAAATTAGAGGCCCCATCACAAAATCACCAGGACCCTGGAGCTGCGCCTGGTCCAGACAGTTCCCAACTGTGCAACAATGCTCCGCAAGGAGACTTGCTCGCTAAAATCGATGGCAATAGCAGTGGTGCAATTACAGATGTGCAAATAAATACAGTAGGACAGGCTGACAACCCTACAGAGTCATCGCAGAATTTGCATGTCCAGAATCAAGTTGAGAATAGGAAATCTGGCAAGAAGCGAAAGATTAAGGGGGGTCGAGAAGGGAAACGCCAGAAGTTGGAAGCCACTGCGCACTCAGTTAAACCTCCTCAGTCCAAGGCAGTTGGTCGAATAGTATGTGATCTGTGCAATGTTAGGTGCGACACGAGGGAAGTGTTTGACCGCCATCTTTCCGGTAAGAAGCACATTGCTAGGTGTATACGCTTTGAAGGGCACCGAGCTCAGTATGGACCACTGGGACTGCAGGCTCTCTACCCTCCAAATCCTGCAGCAACACCTCTTGTTTCACACCCTCAGGGTTGGCTGGAACCACAAATTCACAATGCCCTTCCTGATGCAACACCAGTTGAGAATCACAATGCTGCTGCGTTGGATGGAACTGCAGCCCATGGTTCTTGTCAAGCTTCAGAATGCGGTCCCACCGCTATCGACCTAAATGTTGCTCCAATAGTAACTGGAGCTCAACCATAAGATCAAGATCTAGATGGAACGTAAAATATTTGAATTTGGCGGCCACAGGCATATTTAATTGCTAGAACCTCTTCGTGAATTAAAGATGGGACTTTACCGATAGGCAATACCTTTACAACCGACAATGTCCTTGTCGCAAGAAGATGCTATGGCTCCATTCGGCAACAATGTTCTGATCCTGCAAAGCCAACAGCATGCAACAAATGGAGGTGCAAAATGAACATTTAGTTCTGGTTTTTCTTTTGCGAGTAATTTCAGGAATTAGGATTGAATTTGTTAATTAGCTGATAATTTTGTCAATGTGTCGGTTACTGCATCCACCCGGTCATAGTAAGATCATAATTAGCAGGATAGTTTGGCTTTGTAGGGATGCAAAATCATGGATCGTGTTTCCAATGCTATGGCCACGGTGGTCGTGTTCTGACTGACTCGTAAATTCTTCTCAAGTTAAAATAGGACCGTCTTGTGACTCATGTCATGTTCCTGCAAAGAATTCGTGCATTGTGTGAAATTCGAGCCCTGGAATGTTTTTGGCTCTGTTGTTTGGTAGACATTGCCGCGGGCCGTCGGAGCGGCTTTTTTTCGCTAGGCACAAGTACTCCCTGTCGACATACCCGAGCTCTCTACAATTCACAATATCTTGTGGTACTTTGCATGCATGAGAGTGTATGTATTGGTTATAGTACTTCTGAAGTAGTTTGTAGTCGGTGGAAAGAACATGAGTAAGAGGTAGTTTCGCTATGTTCTCCTGCTAGTGATTTTGTCAATTTCGAACAAATTTGGACAACGGATACGCGAACAAATCATCAAGAAGTGAATGCACTGGAATTTATTGACATTTCAGTTTGGGAAAGAGGCGACATGTATGAAGCCAAAGTGGACATGAATTTGAACCTTATATACGAATCAAATGAACAAATCAAAGAATACTCTCCTAAAAACTAACATAAAACTCAAAGAATTGTTCGGTTGTTTCAACAGTTGATTCGCTGTTAGATAGCCGAAGCCATCTGATTCAGGCGTCGTAAGGTGCGATCCAATGCCTTCCATTGACGAAACTCTTGACGAGGAACCGGTGGGCCTCGTCGTAATCAAGCTCCCGAGCCCATGAAACGCCTCGCGTCGCCCCGGCCCCCGGACCAGAGCACTTGTAAACTCCGAAAAACACAGTCCTGCAGATTGAATGTAAAGAAAAGAAAGAAATTGCTTCATGTTACAACATCAGTGGAAGAAATTCAGGAAATCAAAACACTTCACATTAGATACTGTCGACAGAACTCCAACTCTTGGTAAAATTCAAGTATCAACTTTCTCCCTCTCTCTCCTTGTTTTTTTGCCTTCACTATGCGGGTTAAAGGCGACGTTCGGCTCTATTATTAAGGCCTAATCATAGGCATGTGATAATGGGTCCAACTTAATCATGACTAAAAACAGCATGTTCTTTGACTAATTGGCTAATTGCACATAATTAACTAGTCGTCTAGACCTCAGAAGGCGAGAGGCCCCTCTCTCTACTGGTGAAACTTTTGTCGGCCTAGGTTAATCTTTCGAGCATCATTGGCAATCATATCTCTAATTGGACAAAAGTCTACGTTGTCATGTACTTTATGTTTGTCATGATCGCGGATCATAATGTAATTGGAGAATATGGGGAGTAAGAAAAAAAAATCGGGGGGGAGTTAAGATTGGTTTTACTTGTTCTTGTTGCTGGCGTGGTCCCAGTCGTCCCAGCCGCCGTGCGCGACGAGGTCGTCGAAGTAAGTGAAGGAGTAGACGATCCGGGAGTACTGGCCCATGGCCCGCCCCACGTAGAGCGGGCCCGTCCCTGTGACCCGGCACCGGACGAAGGCAAACCCCGTCTTCTCGTCCGGCGACTTCCTGCCGTGCGCCGCGATCGACCCGAACCTCGTGGCTATCGAGTGGAGCTGGCAATCCTGCATGTGCATGTGCCCCCCCCAAATCAATCCAACATCCAAAACCAAACCAATTCACAATCCTTTCACTGCAATTTAGAGTCTTTGTCTTTTCTTTTTGCACTTTCTAAAGCGAACGTGGAGATATAGACCAAGTAAAAATCATGCGCAAAGTCGCCAGTGCCGACACATGAAGGAGGGAGCTTTTTAAGCAGAGAGAAAAGCTTTTCGTTTCCCTTTTCCTCTGTGTCACGCCAGGGCATCTTTCTCGCCACTCCACACATTGCTGTCGCCACCAGCTTTTTGCTGTTTCTCTTTGTTCGAGAACTTTTTACTGCTCCCAAAAAGATCGACATGAAAATATGGTCTTCTAGTTTTCACTTTTTAAAAGATTATATCAGGGTGGTGGTCTGTTTTCTGCTTCATCTAATTACTAATAATAATATGGAGGATGCAGTGCAAAGATTGCATGAAGAAAGCGAAAAAGGGCTTCATTCATTGCATGCATTGGGTGCTCGTGATGAGTCCAATTGATTACTGAATCGTGTGGGTCGTCACGTGAAAATCGAGACCCGCGTGATCTAATTAATGACCTGGCGTGCCTAGAACTGGGCCGAGGGCGTCGCTTACCTTGTACATGGACCGGCCATTCCCGAAGATGAAGTCGATGGACCCCTCGATGTAGCACTCCCTGAAGTAGTGCCGGCCAGCGTCGTCGCACAGCGTGTCCTGCGCGCCGTAGAATCCGCACCCCGAGAAGTACGCCTTGTCCCCCGATATCCGGAACGCTACCGCTTGCCACCCTTGCATCCCCGGCATCGGAGCTGGCGCCGTGTTCTGCAAATATCATTTGAAAGAAAACATAAGAAGCGGGAAAAAACTAATCTAAACCACTTGGATTTATACGTTACGTAAATTCAGTACAGATATCTTTTGCACTCTTATTTGTTTTTCTGGTTTTCCACCTTTCTCTCTTCTCCAAACAAATGCAGTAGAGAAGCTACTCCGAAAGGACTTCCACTATTCTTGTACTTCGGTCGGTGAGATGAAATCTATCATAACCTAGAAGTAGAGCGCGAGAACATTTATATACCTTGAAGCTAATATTCCTGGCAGAGAAATAATTGGCCAAAACGGAGACCGAAGCCGTCCGGTAAGTACGGAGCTGTTGGCCATTGGCGCCGCGGTCACTCGCTCTGTCGTGCCACTCGATCACCGTCACGTCTCTTCCCTCGCCTTGGAACGTGATGAACGGCTTGGTCGCCGGGACAACCACCTTCTCACTGTAGTTAACCACAATTCAAACCCACAAAGTTGTTATGCGGAGTGCGAATGAGTCAAGTTACACTAACGAAAATGCTCGGTTGAGTTAAGTTCGCTCGCTACTCAAGCTTTATTCGATTCGTTTTCAAGCTTGTGTTCGACACGAATATACAATTCAAGTACTAAACTAATTACTCCGGCCTAAGCTAATTTGGTTTTACACAGTGATTATTACATGTTGTGATAATAGAGACCGAACTCAATCGGTTAATGCGTCTTATCAAGCCAAGCTAGAGCTTGGTAAGCTCGAGTCGAGCATCACAACTTGCATTTTCGAGTCGAGTCGGAGCTCGCACATGAAAACTCAAAGCTTCTTCAAGCTTACTTCTAAAAATGCACGAAACTAAAAAAGTTCAAACACAAAAGCATGCCAAGTCGGTTACATGTAAAATCCAGCGCTGATCCGAATGGTGACGTTCTTCCTATTGTTATCCGGAACCGAGTTGATGGCAGCCTGGACCGACTTGAAGTCGGCGGACCCGTTGATGCTGACGGTGATGATGCGGTGCCCGACCGGCCCGATCCACCTGTGGCGGTGCTTGCTGGTGGAGTTGGAGGAAGCGGCAGCGCTGTCGGAGATGAGGCTGCGGCGGTGAGAACCCGCGACCTGCAATGGCGCGCGAGAGGAGAAGAGTAAGAACAAGGCTAAGCAACAGAAGACAAAGAACGAAGAACTCGTAGAGTCAGCCATTAAACAAGCATCAAAACGTTTCACAGAAAGAGAGAGGGAAAGAGAGAGAGAATGTCTTCTCGTCTCGGAGCTCGGGAATGCGGAGGAATGCGAGAACGTGGAATGAGAGAGCGACTGGTGATACGAAGAATTATATACGTCGAGGTGGAATAGGTTTGGTGTTTCCAACGGTCGAATGCAGCATAGGCTGGCGTTAGCTTTTGGCCGCGGTCGAGGTCATCTCCAAATTTCAATGGTGGTGGGGTCGTTATCCTCTTGGCCCCGCGCCTCTCTACCCAGATACCCTCCTCGCAGGACTCGCTCGCTTGTCGTTTAACTCCCATCTTCATGCCTGATTAGATTAGTTTGATCGCTTTGGATTAGTCACTTAAAATGTAATTGTTTTTTTGTAAAGACGAGGTCCGTCGCGAGTGACAGAAAGAGAGAAAAACGGGATTTCGATGCATACGGGGTCCATCGATCTTGTCTGTCGTAGACTTTTTTGCGAAAACTTTGCGAGGAGGAGGAGGAGGAGACAAACGATGGAAGAATGTCGTCGAACGTGATATGTCTGCACGGAAACGATGATACTCAGTCACGGGTGGCTTAGACAAACTGTCCTCCTGCTTTGGTATGAGGCTTCGAGGACTTGTTCGCCTTGTTGTCTCCCTCCCAACGGTATTCCCCCTGTTAATTAAGCCTTTTAACTTGTATCCCGACTGTGTGTCGTCCCGGGTTTGCTTTCATTGAAATTGATGTAGTGTTCGATCGACTTATGCATATATGTAACTATACAAGGCGCACGCGTGCACACAATGTTGAGATTGGTAGTTTTTCTTTTGTCACACTCATCTCTTTTATGCAAATGTGTATGCGGTGCTCACAGGGACCGAACCCCGGACCTGGTACTCTTCAGCCCCACCCCTTCAATGCCTTTATCAGCAGGGCCGCATGCCCAATGGCAAGGTTGAGCTTGGTTTACAAGAGTGACTTACAAAGTGAATACGACCCTACCTGTGTAAGCTTTCACTTACATTTAGTATGTCATTATGTGAAAAAATGTTAGGTTAGGTCGTCGGATTTCATTAGCTTGTCTAGACGTGCGGCAGAAGTCCGACATTTCGTTTCAAGGGAGATCTCAGAGGGAGCCCAAGCTCAGACTTATTAGCACATCCAGCCGGACTTAGTATCTCGCTAATAAACAAGCCCGAACATCAAGTTTTACGAGTCGATTAGATTTACCAATTCCCCCATGCTACGAAAATGAGTCAATCTGAAGTTTTCGTTATCACACAGTAGACGATTTTCCGACCACGAGATAAGTTCTTGGTCATCTAGTCAGAAGCACACGGATGCAACCGAAATGTTTTCGGAGGTGCATCGAAGTGAACGAGTTGAGAGCACGTGTGGGAGCGCCACAAACAACATCGCTTGCTGCTCGACCATTTGCCGTCTGAAATCCTGGAGATTATAGTGCTTTCTGGGTTTGTCTAGGTGGAGCAAGGTTTTTTCCACCGATTAACGTGAGGTCCACAAACAGGACTCCTCGACTGACTCAAGCTTACATGTACAAATAGCGGGAAAGTGTCGAAAAAGTCTTAAACCTTTTGTATTTGTGCCAATTTAGTTCTAAATCTTTTTTTTGTGTTAATTCGGTCCTAAACCATTTGTCTTTGTGTCAATTCAGTCCTTTTGGCTAATTTTAACTGGATTTTGCTGATGCGGACGCCGGCCGGCTTACGTGGCACCGCCTGCGATGACGTGGACAACTTTTAATACTATTTTAATACTTTTCGAAGTTTTCTTCTTCTTCCTTCGGCCGGAGGCCAGGGCTGGCTTGCCCTCGCCAGCGATGGTGACGGCAAGCCTCGCCAGCGGCTGGGCGAGGCACGACCTCGCTGGATCTGGCGAGGTCGGGCCTCGCCCATGGCCGGCGGGGCTCGACCCTTGCCAGCCGAGCGCGAGGCCGCCTCAAATAGATTATGCGCGCGGAAATCGTTTTACATCAGATGATTTCGCATGTCAAACCCCATCTTTAACAGTCTTTTTCTCCCCCTTCAACACCCTCGGATCAAGCAAACCTCTCACCGTATCAAGAAACCAAAAAAGGAGAGAGAAAAAGAGTTGTTAAATGAGCTCATTCGGCTTCCCCCCTCCCTTTCTTATGTCAGGTGTGCGAATTTAATACCCATGAAATGTTTTAAGGTATGGTCGTGACATAGATTAAATGAGACAAGTTGTGGCTGAGCCTGAGCGTGCGTAAAGGTCACCGATCCAAGTGAAACAGAAGATAAGATTTAAAAAAAACCAAAAGAGGAAAGAAATTCCCCCAAACACCTGCTCGTGCTGCTGCTCCTCCACAGACTGACTGACGGTGCTGTTCCAGGGCATGGCCTAATTCGTTTCTTTCTTTGGGCCATGTCCCCACAGCTTAGACCACGTGGACGCCCACCATTCTTAGACGAGACGACGCCAGGTTTTTTCGAACGTTGGGGGGGGCTTTAACTGATGAAAAACGAAGAGCGACTCCCATTCGGACAAGAGACAAGAACAGCAACATTGTGCTCTTTTACACTGATTACGTTACGTCGGGAATGCACAACTGAAAGCCGACGCCTGAAAATCTTTAAGAGAGAGATCAGGTCTGGACCCGTTAATATATTTAGTCGGACCCACCTCTACTCAAAAGTTTAAACCGTTGAGATATGGCGCAATCAGACTACATTAACTACAACAAATGACATCAATTTTTTCGACGTAAACACTTTTTTCGTAATACAATTCGTACGGTCGTCGCAATACTTAGTGCCAAGCAAATAAATGGGATTGTAAAATACTGTATATCTGCGAAAGGTTATTTGTCAACGAAGGTACAGTAAATGGGGTGGGTCCGTGGGACTCATCATTGCCGTTGCGTTTGGCTTTATTCCCATTTCAATGGGTGCGGAGCAGCATACAAAGATTCGGAACTGCGGCGAGTATCGTACTTCGCTTATTAAAAATAAGAAAAGTGCACTTGGTCAAATCCACCAATTTGTTTCTTGTTTTGGCGGGGTGCTGTGAGCATCAATTTGAATCTGGGATGATTAAGCGTCGCCGAAAAATCGAGCTCTTTTCTGATCTTGGTCGCGTAATTAGTGTTGATTAGTGCCCTGAACATGAGACTAATCATTAGCTGATCTCGTTCGGTGGAAAATGATGCTGGGGCAGCACCATCAATCCTTCTTTCTTTTCCGGATAATAAGCACGGTTGATATTATATGGATAGATCCTTAAAAGGCTCCATCCAGACCTTGGGATGTTAATATAAGAGGGTATTCCAGTCTTCCCCTTGGAAGAAAAATAAACACGGGGGAGGGATTGGAGATGGGAAGGTAGACCGGCCGTCAGGTCGTTAAATAAAGCGTTGTAGCCTACTTAAGTGGTAACGATCAACACCCGTTCTTGGTGAGGTAAACATTACCAAACATCAAGAATCCAAAAATGTCCCTGACAAGGTAAGGTATTTCTCTTTGTCGGAAAAAGGTGGACGAGAATTGTTGCATGAAGTTTTTTTGCTAGAAGCTAGCTTGGCCTATACCGATTGAATAATTTATGCGATATATCCAGGTTGCGAATCCGTGAATAGAGGCATGAATGAGTTGGAAGCTGAGATCCGAGGTTAAATGATTTTTCGTGTCGAACTTGCTTGGCATGAAATCGAACATTGTTCGACAGATGTCGTGCTTCGTAGTTAAGAACCCGCTAAAACAGAATGAGGATTCGGGTTCAGGCGAGATCGAAATCTGGAGTCATGATAATCAATAGCGCACATTGCAAGTTTCGCTTCGATTGAAACAGTGACACAGCCAAATTCTCGCTCTGGACTTTTGTGGACTCAAAATGCAGTGAAAAAGATGAAGGAGCAACCGAAAATTCGAACAGCATCCAAGGTCCAAACCCATGTGAACATTTGGGCCGTGAAAGCGCAGGAGATGCAGGTTAGCGGGCGACCGAATTTTCCTTTGGTGTTGAGGTCCAAAATTGAATCAAACACTTCCCAGATATCTGTAATTTCCTTTTGTAATCCAAGAACAAGGGTGTGAAGACTCGGTTATCTAGAAACTCATGGATACCTTGCAAGCCCAAGTTCGAGCCTTCGGCCATGGCGGTTAACAGTTTACACACGGTTTTGCAACCTAAATTTTGACAACTCGTTTAGCCATTCATTGTACATAAAATTAGGAGTCGATCCCAACCCTTTCGGATTTTTTGCATATTAGGAGCACTATCATTTAGTAGTAACAAGCCCATATTAACTTTATCTGGACTAAGCCCACAGGATTGCAAAATTCGGTCAAGCCCATGTTTCCCTCTATATGGTCGAAAATTGTCATGTGCATAGCACATGGATGGGGAAAAGTGCCAAAAAAATCCTAAATCTTTTGCATTAGTGCCAATTTAGTCCTAAACCTTTTTTTAGTGTCAATTCAGTCATAAACCTTTTGCATTGGTGCCAATATAGTCCTAAACCTTTTTATGGTGCCAATTCAGTCTTAAACCTTTTGTTTTTGTGCCAATTCAATCGTAAATCTTTTGTTTTTGTGTCAATTCAGTTCTTCCGACCAATTTTGGCCGGATTTTGCTGACGTGAACGCCGACCGGCCGGCGGCCAGTCACCGCCGCTGACGTGGACAACTTTAATAATATTTTAATATTTTTTTGAATATTTATTTATTTATTTCTTTTCTTTTTTTTTTCCCCCTCCCCTCCCTCCTTCCTCTAGCCGATCGTCGGACCGGCGACCAGCCAGAGGCCAAAGGTCGACGGCGGCGAGGCTCGCCCTCGCCCAGCCGCCAGCGAGGTCGAGCCTTGCCCAGACGCCAGTGAGGCTCGCCCTCGCCAGCGACGGCGAAGGCGAGTCTCGCTAGCGGCTGGCACGACCTCACCAGATCTGGCTAGGTCGGGCCTCGCCAAGTCGCCGGCAAGGCCGACCTCGCCAGTGGCTGGTGACCGGTTGGAGGACGAAGGGAGGGAAGGGGAAAAAAAAGAAAAGAAAAAAAGAAATAAAAATTCAAAAAATATTAAAATATTATTAAAGTTGTCTACGTCAGCCCCGGTGACCGGCTGGCGTCCATGTCAGCAAAATCTGGC